TTGGACTGAATTCGAAGGTTTTGCAGTATCAAAACAATACTCCTGACCTATTCAATCAATGAAGGTGCAATGTTGCTCGACGAGCGTGTTGGGGTTGCAAAAGCCTTTTGGCCGTCTTCTTTACTCGAATATGACTTTGACTAGTGACTAGAAGCTGTTTATCGCTGAAAATGCTCAAAACCCTTTGGAACACCAATGCAACGGAAGGTGTTTCTACCAAGATGTCACTGGAAAGGCCAATGATGTGCTGTCAACTGCGTACCAGTTGAGAGATGGGTCATGACTGATATTGTCTAGAAATTTGAGGAGTTCAGAGTCCGCTTTCAGTCAGTCCGATTCTGTCCTGCAAACCTTCCAGACTTTTGCTGCAGGGCCCTCTACCACTGTGCCCAGCGCATTCACCGAGTACTTCAACTTTGAAGCCTCAAAAACCAGGGGAACATCCGACTCTAAAGGACGTCCAAACAAGCACCTCAAAGCATCTGGTGTGTGTGTGTGTGCGTGCGCGCAACACAAGCATCTCCCTTCCCTCACAAACGAGCTGCCAACATTATTCGCTAAATGTTGCTGGATTCTGCTCTTTGTTGGTGCACGCTTGAAGCTGTATAGGTCAAAGCAATGGACGTCAGACCGTGATCGTTCTTACCTCCCCGAAAAACTCGCCGTCAGACCTGCAGGCCTAGCAGCTGCAATGACTTTGATCGCAGCATCCACATGCTTCCACTTGTGTTTGCGAGTGCCCGGAGGCGATGGTAAAACTTGAAGATCAGCGATCAACGGCATCTCTTGGCCCTTGTGCTTTCAGGGCTGAAGGGCCTGGTTGGAGCGATGTGTGAAGAGCCCCATTGTCTGAAACCGATTCCGGGAACAAACAAATGTCAACGAGAACATCAACTGCATCTCTTTGATCAAAATATCCAGGCAGTTCTTCAGCTTTTCATGGCCCCTGGTTTCAGCTTTTCAGTGAGTCTGGAGGATGCACCCAGGCTGCGGGCCGTTGAGCTTTTCAACGCCTCCACCGACTCTGTGTTACATGTTGCTAAGATGTCTTGAAGCAGCTGTTCCTTTGTTCAATTGGCCAAACTGTGCAAACTCAGCCTTTCGAATATGGACCGAACGTCGGCCAACCCCAATAAAAATTTGAGAGTGGGACGCCACCACGGCCCCCCCAAATACGTGGTGTTCAGCGTTGTCTAAACCCAAACATATGGTTATAAGATTGTTTATAGGTCTTATTCAGATATGCCATGTCGTATGTTGACGACGTAATATCATTAGTATATTGGAAGTATTTCTCAATTAGTTTAGTTTTTTGTATTTACAAGCATATATTTCTTGATATTGTTTAGCGTTTGTTAATCTTCTTCTGTGTTCAGTCTCTTCTAAACTCTCAGTAATATTTTATGCTCAAACATAGTGTCAACCATTGCATCAGCATATTGTTTCATAATCTTTGGTATGTGTCAGCTCATGAACTGATCTTAGTTGTCTGGTATCACGTGTGGCAAAAAATATTGCTCAACAAACTATGTGGCCTTCCAATAAACACTCAGTTGCTAAAACTTATGCTAAAAAATATTGTTATTGGTATGTCATCACTGTCAGATTCGTGTAATAACCTATTAGTAGTGCATACAAATATTGTTATGTAACCGTTATAACCATTATCAACCATTTTCTGGCAGATATGAATTTTGCTTGCTCCTGCAAGTAATATCCTAATAATTACCTGGTTCACTTTCTCAATTTTACCAGCAATATCATCGGTATCAGTATCATACTCATAATTTTGAATCTATCTATCTTTAAATGTTTGTAATTCCACAGCTTTATTTTCTACAACTTGGTAAAGCTCATGAGGTAATTTAATATCCGCATACTTGCTCACTCTCCAGCCTCCAATCTTATTAATAAAAGCCACACCCTTGGGTTCTTTTCATCTACAGCCTTGATGGTGAAAGCATCAATCTTAACACACTATACTGTAATACCAGCATGCTCCAGTTTACAGTAGGTTTTATACATTCCAAAATTTGTGAAACTTAGTTTCAATAGTAAATCTGGAGGAGGGGGTCGACCTAGATTCTTTTTTTGTCGACCATCCCTCCCAGCCTTTGCCAAAGGCTCCTAATCTGGAGGGAAGGGTCGACAAAAAAAACAAAAACTGGGTCGACCCTCCCTCCCAGCCTTTTCCACATGCTCCTAATCTGGAAGGGGTCGAAAAAAATAGAATTCATTTGCTTTTGGTCGACCCTCCCTCCCAGCCTTTGCCAAAGGCTCCTAATCTGGAGGGGGGGGCGACCAATTTGTTTGTTGTTTTTGTTTTTTGGTCGACCCTACTTCCTGGCCTTTGCCAAAGGCTCCCAATCTGCTGCACCTTATGGACTCCTTTCATTAGAGGAGTATGCTCTTTTAGAAAGACAGCGTCCCTTTCTTTTTTCTACCGATCCAGCTTCTACTTTTGTACACGTTGCTATATAATGTTTTTTGTTTTTCGATTAAGATCAGCAAAAAAAAGAATTGCTAATATTACTATCTAATTGCTGTATATAGAAATAGCAGATAATATAATGCATGTTTATAATTCAATGTATTTCCAGAAACGTGTATTTGCGTCCCTTTTGGCTCGCAAAGGCTCGCCCAAGTAGTCGCAACTTGATCGAGCGACCAAGACGGACCTCTCTCGATCGTCCAAATCGATGGAACCGTTCAGTGACCAAACATTGCCTTTTGGGAAGCAGCACAGGCAGCAATGTTTGGGGAGATGCCTTTTGTGATGTCTCTTTCCCAAAGAACCATCTATCGTCGTAGCCGCCTGCCTTGGCAGCCAATGTCGAAGCGCACAGCTGGCAGCCCAGTGCTAGCTTGGCTCGAAAGGGCGGGTTCAAATACAGTACAGTATATATATATATTATGTTAAATGATGGTAAATGATATGACATGATGGTTGTTGTGTTTGGATCCTGTAGAATCCTGTGACGCGTCCTCTTTCCTTTCAGCATGTTTCATCAAGCTGATGTCAGCACAAATCTAGTGTTTTCTGGACCCATTTGGGGATGCTGCAATGCTTGACACGTTGGACATCATGGGCATGGCATGTTTCAGCATGTTTCAGTAAGAATCTGACTTACTCATAAAGCTGCGGTTGTATTATGTTGTATGCATCAATCACAAGCAAGAACCGACCAATGCGTCCAAGTGTTTCACTCCTGCAAACAAGTCTGTACATTCCACCATTCACCTTCCCGATCAATTACATGTAGATCCGTCTTCCAAGAAGACTTGTTGACAAACCTCAACTGTTCTTGGTATGGAAATCACAGCAATGTTCCTGCCCCTTGCTTCGCTGTGGTCCCCGCCTCTTTCAGCTTATCATGTAGACTGGGATGGAAGCTCCAAGGCCGATCGGAATTTGCCTAAAGCTGATAAAGGTGTCACAACGGTCAACATTCTCCAAACTTCTCTTCAGAAATACTCTCAGGTTGCTCTTATTCTACCAAAACGCATTGAAAGAGGGGCTGGTTTATGGGCTTTCGAAAGGCCTTTCTCGTATACTTGCAAAATGGAAGGCATGTCAACATCTGGAAGGGGAAGTAGCTTGACACACCGCATCCCGCAAACCAAGGTCCTGGCGGCCAAAAAAACGATAGGCACGAAGTGTACGAAGGCCATCATGCTGCATCTGCGGCATGGTCCAAGAATCATCTCCCTTGTGGGAGTGGGTCCAACCACGAAAACACCCTCGTCGACCGCTGCAAATGAACAAAATAGATCACCAAACAATGGTCAACCTGCCAGTGTTTTGAGCTCCAGGTTTTGACCCACTGCCATATCGTTTTGTGACCATCAGATAAAGAAAACACATCACAACACCAACCATATGTTTTGTGACCCTTCTGTGCATAGAGAGAAAACATCCAAAAAAACAATGCCATCCATTCCGCTTTCAACAAGATTCCCGTACAGTAACCGTCGCCCTCGAGCATTGCACAATGGAACCGGAACTCGCCACGGCTACAACTGCCATCTTTAAGCAATCATGCAAGAATGGTATGGCACTTTGCCAGTCCGAAGTGGACTCCAATGGTGATTAGACGATATTGGACGTGCTTGCCACTGCAACAGCGACATTTCGTAAAATTTGAGTTCCTCTCCAACACTGTCTGTAGAACAGGGTCAAAGGCCTGCCAAAGGCCAACTGACTTGACGTTTGGCAAGCTCGATGCATCCGTGACAGCTTTAAAATCCCCGTGCCTTCTTCGAAGGCCTTTTGAAATTTGAACAATACACTACACAGTAAAGGAGTAAGGCAATGCTGCTGGAGCATCCTCATCTGGGACAACTTCGACCATCTCCTCAGATTGGACAAGCTGGACAAATGGAATGCTTTTCCAAAGCAGAACCATGGAGACCCAAACCATATTAAGGAGCATCTCCTCTGACTCTCAGCTCTTACTTTCCCTCTCTCTGTCTCTTTAAGCTGTAGTACGAACATTGGCACGTTGAAAGCTCGATGCCAAGATTCTTTGTCAACCCGAGGCAAGCTCAAATACGCGTTTGTGCCTCGGGGACGACCAGCAGGGTTCATTCTTTAAAAATGCTGGCGTTTGAATTGGAACTACATCAAACACTTAGCTTTAGGGGTGGCGTGTCTCTTTATAGAGTACAACAAAAAAGGGAACTGAACTGCTCTGGCCACCACTCTTTGTGGTTCGTACATCTTAATACTATGCCAGTTACTATGCGAATGTGCCAAGTCAATAGAGATTTACTAGCAATCCACTCAAGGATCCCCAAAGCTTCAAACATGTGAAGTAAACCAGGAAAATCAGTATCCTATCCTCCAGCATCATTCTCATGCAGCCAAGTCCAAATGGGTTGGATCGGATCAAATAGGGATCAGTACTTCAGGCTGATCCCACCCGTGGCCTTTCCCATGACTCGCGCTTCCATCACTCCGAAAAAAACGGGTCCCACCAGTCGAACCGAAAAGGAGGCGATCACCTGGTTTGCTTCGTTACCCGGAGCTCCAAGCGGCCATAGCCAGGCAAGGAGATCAGTTCTAAGGTACCTCCCATGTACCTCCGAAACATCCCGCGTCGTATCCCGCCGGAATTCGCACATGCGGGATCGGCTGGGAAAACTCGAACGAAACAGGGCGGATCTTGTGGTGAAACATGGTGAAACGGGGTCTGTGTTTGCTTTTGCCCTGACTCTTTTTTTAGGACATGACGAAGAACATCGAATTGAATGCAAGCTGCTACCTAGTAGGTGTGTCTGTACCTAGTAGGTAGCAACCCCTCGTTCAACGGCGCCAGGGATCCCATGATGGTCAGTAGTGGCCTCTAACAGTAAGACAGGGACGTCCATGATCCACCGAACGACTTCATCGACGGTCACCGGGCATGCAGCCGCGAGAGTGGCAGCCCAACGCCATAGCCACTCAGGGGAGATGCCTTCCCAGAGGAGGTGGTATACCTGAAATCAGCGACATCAATGAGCCAGGGATGCATCTGAATTCCAATGGTCCAAAGATATCCAAGCCTGCAACAACCAATGGCGACCCTCAACGCAGTCGACACTCAGCCATCCGCAAACACCAATGATCCGCAGTGCAAAATCCACCCAAACGTGGATAAAATGCATTGTCGATCGGCGACTTGGAGAACTCTCTGTGCTTCTATTTTGAGGCTTTCTACGAAGGCTTTCGGAGCTCCCTGAGATGCACCAGTTCGATGGTTTTCAGCAAACATGTGGAGGACCGGTCCAGTCCATGGTGTACACCAGTCTCCGCCGTCGGTCCCGTGTTGTTACGGAGTCTCCGCCCGGTGAGTCAGAACCAAAACGAAGGAGTCGCCGGCAAACTGGCATGTACATCCCAGTCGAACATGACCCTGTCTCTACAAAAACGCAAAAACGTGGGCCAGCTGCACTTGGGAGGAGCCTTTGGCCTTTGTTTGTCTTGTGACTCATATGTCGTTAAAAGCTCTGATAAGCTTGCAGAAGCTTAGCTCCAGTGTGGATCGTTTAAGGTTCAACAGCTTTCCTTATGATGCCGCAGTACATTAATAATATCTTATATAATACACAACACAAAAAGCAAAAAGACATCAAAATTCTTGATACCCAATTCAATTCTTGATACCCAATTAACTTGCAAAACAATTAATGCATTCTGCTGACTAATTTCGAGTAGTCCGCTTCGAGATGTTTTGAGATGGTGCACAGGTCATGGGCTGCGTTATCCAGTGCTTGATGTGCCGTGAAATCCGTCTGATACCAAGCTTCAGGAAGGTTACAATTCGCGCAACACCCTCCCACTGCCACTTGTCGACATCTAGCTGCATGTAAGACCACACACGATTTCCAACCTCAATGGGGATGCCTCCTGCTCGATCACTCACTCCTCAGCTGCTGGAAAGAAGGCCCTCCATGTTCATCAATGTATGGAACATAATTTAGCGGGCCTGACCCACAGCCATCAAAGGGCTCAGACTTGCTCCAATGTCTCCTAAACATTTCGATTGAAAAATTGAGATCTGTTGGTTCATTGATCTCAAGCTATTTGGGGAGCATGTTCGAATGCATAAAATAACAGCCCAAGCTAAGGCTTAAAGACTGCACAACTATACTTGGACGAACCCGGAAACCATCTCTCTAGCTCTGGCGTCACTCTGAAGTAGTTAACGACGCCCATGGAAGGCCCTTCCTTTGGCTATCTCAAACTAATGCACCCCCAACAGCGGGCTTCTCCAGAGCAAACATGTAATGATAATCACACAAACATGTGCACTCACCCGGCTTAATGCATTTGGTCAGAGCTAAGTTGCTTGGAGTGTCTCTACTCAAGTCATCCAATCAACCCCCCGTCAAGCAAGCTTCGAATCATCACGTGTGCTGCATTTGCACAGGCCACCACCTCGATCGGGCGGCTTGCCAGATCTGCATCCTTAGGCCGTCGCTGTGGCTGTCGAAACGAAAGGCTGTCGCCCCACTGGGAGCCCTGCCGTCCCGTGCCGAATCGTCACGACCTGTTTTCCACGAGCCGGTCGTTTCTTGATGTGCTCATGACGAAGCACATAACGTCACGGCTTGGCCAGTCAAGCTGAAAGAACACATAACCTGTTGTATCTAAACAGTATTCACAGTATTTCATATACTTACAGTATAGTATTTCACAGTTTCCGTGGATTCAGGCCACACTGGCCACACCCGGACATGATGCTTTAAGCCTTTCTTTCAACAAAAAAGACTCTCCAGCCAAAATTTAGCTGCTGGTTCAAGTCTTGCGCATGGCGAGTACGAACATTCCACATGTTTCATTTATGTGCCTCTAACCATGAGGAGACGTGGGAGAAGAAACGCCAATGGCCAATGGCAACAGCTTGTGGTTCACAATATTCACAGCTCATCACAGCTGGAAGGATACACGATTCGCTGGCCGACACAGCACTGGCTGATGGGCAGTTCCGTTTCGGATGGAAGCAGTGGGCCGAGAGTGCAGCCCCACGGGGTGCACCGAGTCGGCCAGGGATGGACAGTTCAACGTAGGACTCTGGGAACTGAATCCTTTGCTGTGTTTGATCACTAGTAACAGGACGAGCGGACTGCTCTCTGCGGACTCGTGCTGCTGAGGGCGCGCGTTTCAGTGCGCAAGTGTGATGATCACTAGTAACAAAAAGATACAAAAAATGGATGTCACTCCCAAGTCCCTCGTCCATGATAGGCAAGGATCATTGGGTGTGATGTCCAGTGTGGCACGGCAGCTGTTCTTCAGCAACTCCCGCATGATAAACGTTAAGATGCCAGGAATGTAGGCAAATCCTCAGTCTTGCCGTCGAACAGCAAGCCCGGTCGGCCAGGTTCTTACGTGGCCACGTTCTTGATTGAATCCGTTTAAAGATACAAGAATGTGACATGTGCATGATTCCTATTATCTCAACTAATTATGCACCTTCACAAAATCTTGAATGGGTTCAAGTTGTTTCGAGTGCAATATCGGTACTTTCAACTCGTTGCATTGCAACGTTTGCATCATAATCCTCAATAGGATTCTTAAGTTCTCCGCATGTGACCTTTCACCCTCTAGTCTCAAGCAGCCAGTGCTTCAACATCGCAAGCTTCAATGGAATTTGGACTATAGTGAGAGTAGAACTCGTTTGAGAACGGATTCAGATGCCACTTGGGAACGTGGGGTCTCTTTTGGCCAAGCTGCTGGGTGCGGGCCCTTGGTGACCTTCTTGGGAAAAACCTTCCACCCGGAGCACCGGCTTGCGTCCCAAGAAGTCTTGGCAAGCGCTCAGAATTTCCTGCCGAATGGAGCGACCGGAACGACTGGGTTTTTGTTGTCTCATTCTTGGAATTCACAACAAGAGGCCAGCTGGGTTATATCTTCGCCTGTCCAGCTGCCTTGCAGGTCTCAACAGCATCACATTGAGGATCAATTATACCTCAAGTGCCACTTGGAAGGAACACACCTCTCAAAGGCAAGAAGCGTCTTCGATTGGTCTTCTGGCTTTGGCGCCCGAAAACAACTGACCGAAAGCTCTTGCAGTTGAGTTGCCAATCATCTTGCGATGTGGATGTGCACAGGCCAGGTAATGAGAGAGTAGCAAATTGCAACCAAGTCGGTTCAACCTCATTTTAGCTCGACCCTCGTATCTCAGACCAGAGTGGGGTGGAAGCTCTATTCGTTTGCATATGTTTCCTATGGTTCTTTGGACCGATCTCATGTGGAGCCATCGGGCCATCGATCCACCGAGGGGTCGCTCGACCAAACCGTCTCGCCGTCCACACCCGGTTTTCACCCGCGAGAGGCCGCGTCGCGGCGCCACAAAGGACTCTCACGGACGTGTCCGTACTGGGCGTTGCAGGCCGAGAGGCAGAAAATTGTCCAGAAACTTGTTCGTAAAGTGGTCAAAGTTGTCGGCTCTGCGGAGTTTCCGTAGCTTGTGCATGCCCTGAAGTTTCGGGACTAGCGCCACAGAGTGCACAGAGTGCAGCACTTGCATGCACGTGCCATGACAAAAAAAGGAATCCACAAGGAAAATATCTGCTGAATTCTGCTGACGTTTTCCTGAGACGAAAACGTGGGTCAAAACTGGGGGGAACCACCAGTTAACGAACGAAGACAGCATGAGACGCTTCTCAGTTGAGCTGCCAGTTCGGCGTCCTGGTTTTGTTGGGTGTCAAGACCCACCACGACGGACGGATCAGTCATGAGTCATGAGATGTCATGAGTCATGTCTTTTTTCGATCTAAGCTGCGAGGGTCATCAGCTCCACCATGTTCTCTTGTCGCTTGAGGACCTTCTGCACGGCCTTCTGGAAATTCACAGGGTCTTGTGGCTCAGCCTTGCGTATGTACGAAAAGGAAGCCTCAGGTGCATGCTGCTCAAAGCAGGAATCCACCGGAATTTCGGACACAGCCGTCCAACTGCCCCTTGCGCACATGCTCGCTTCGTGGATGGACAGGTTCGATTGTTTCTGCATGTACGCGACAGAAGTTTTCCATGCCGATGGCCTCCACACTAAGGATGCGCCAAGGCTCTTTGTGCTTCATGTGGGAATCAACGAGTTCCGGGATGTCCTTCCACTCCTGAACCTGCGGAGACCATGCGTTTCAAGACCATGTGTTCTGGCACTGGACTGGCTACAATGAGAGTTATCTGCAGTATCAACATGTAAAAAAAAAAAAAAAAACTATTACAGTATATAAACATGTACCAACAGATCAAGTGGCAACTTGGCTCTCAAAACATCCGCTTTTCGCTCGACAACCAGAGGTCTCAATGCCGATCTACGGGACTCCCGCCTTTGACGCAACAAAATGCAACAAACCATTATGCATCCGGTGTATAAATACACAAGAGCTTAAAGACATAGATAACAGATGATAACAGTATATGCAGCAGCAGCTACGATCCCTCTCCTTTATCAGGTGTTGCATTTACAGGAGACGTTCTCCCAGATCGGCCACTGTACGGCGCCTGCTCGATCCATCGAATGCGTTCAGCAAAGCGGATAGGCATCTCCTCCTGGGAAGAAGCGCCGGAGCGCCCAAACGCGGTTTTGCAATGTGAAGGCAGCCCATTCGGTCCACAAAAACACCCGGCCAACCTGTCCAGAAACCCCAGGCCGACCTGTCCAGATGGTCGGATGTTGTTCAGAAAAATCCGGTCCAGGTCCAGGAGCATCTGGGCAGATAAATACAACTCTTCACTTGGGACGAGTCAGACTCATTGAGTTGATGCTATTCATTGGAGTTTAGTAATTGAGCATTGCTCAAAACCTATCGAGAATTTGTTCTAATGGGCTCTTCTTTCGCAAGTTCATTTCGCACCACTTTCGCGGCTTGAGTTTTGGCTTTCGCGCGCTGCATTCTGTACAAAAACACTTTCGCAAGCGTTCGCGGACGGAACTGATTTCGCAAGCTTTTGCCAACTGTCTGGAGCTTTCGCAAGCTTTCGCCAATGAAAAGTTCGCACAATCTTTCGCGGATCTTTCACGACTGCATGTTTTGCTTTCGCGAAGGCATAATGCATTAGACTCTCTTCAAATTGTTACTTGGGAAAGTTTTGGCCGCTGCTCTGGTAAATTCTTCACCAGCTGAAAAGGAGGTTGAACGTTCCCTTTTTCGGTGCGGCTATGAATCGCTGGGTGAGTAATGTGAGAGGTCCAGTACGGCTTCCCAAAGCCCTCCAAACAGTGTTTGATCCTTATTTCAACTCACATGCTTACCAGGCACCCAAGGCGTTCCACACAAACACACTGTCCTACGAGGAACTTGGAATCTGCAGCTGGGGAGAAACAAAAAGTCTCAGTTCAGAAACATGTTCACTGAGCCAAGCATTTAGTTTCTGAACTTTGTCCAAGTGGCTACCAGGAATTCTGCGAAAGGTCCTGCGTTCGTCCAGAGAGGGCGAAGCGTTCGGGCGACGTCGCCCGAAGTCGGCGTTCGGGGGGGGGTCGACCGCGTTCGGACTGGCTGGATGGGCCAGTAAGCAAAGTGTTCTTGTAAACATTAACAATATGAAACATAAACATATAGACCATGGACATAAATGTAAAATGGACGACCATGGACTCCGGACACTTCCCAAGATCCATTTGGATCCCATTTCCATCCATTTTAGAATACTTTAGATGACCCGAATTATCTCGGCCCACCAAACTCCCGGATCCCGTCGACTCTATCCCTCTGCCGCAAAAACGAACTCGGCCTGGCTTGGCGAACTCATGCATCCAGCTATGCATACTCACAGGGTTCGGTTTCATGGCCGCAAACCTCGGTCACACCCGAACGAGGAGCCATGGCCGCGGCCGGACGGTTGAAGAGGGATGAGGGTGTGTGGAAGAGGGAGACCTGCGAATCCTCTCGCCCCTGGCTGGGTAGACTGGTCTATTTCCCGAACCGAAGCCAGGGGGTCTTCTTTGAACGTACAAAACACATCAACATACCCACAGTGTGCTCACTCGAAAAGTCTCAAAGCTTCAAAAGAATGGGAGTCCGAATTCCCGAGCATTCCAGAGCCAAGAAGAAGCAGGAACGGAATCACCAGTCCGCCTGCCTAAAGCGTCGGCGATTTCGGACGCCAAACGGACCGATGGAAACCCTCCTTTCGTTTCAGATGGAAACCCCTCGTCGCAGCAAAACGTCATTGAAATGCCATGCCAGACGCAAAGGGCACTTTGGGATCCACAACTGGAAAAACTGGCGCCAGGTTCGTCTCGTTGCAGCGGTTTGTCTCGTTTCCGGATCAAAACATGTCAAAAACACATCGTTTCCGGATGTCCAAGCCACTTCTCCACCGAACAGTGCCGTGCTCCGCCGGCTCTGCATCGCTTCGAGGGGATCGAAGGGATCCTGGACAGGAAGGCCCCTCCGAAAGGAACGGCCCGTGCTGTTTCCTTGGCAAAGCTACACAGTATGTAGAGGACTGTAGAGGTACGTAAAGATGCCCAAAAAATGGAGAGCTTTTGCATGGCAGGCACAAACGGATTGGAAGCTGTAGCATGCTTCGGCTTGACTCAAGTTGATTGGCATTGGTAAACGCAGTGCAAATTGTATGCTGTATCACCGCAAAATAGGAAATCCGTCTTTGCCCCTGTTGCGTCATTCTAAGCCCCTCCCCAGTCACTGTCTCCATGCCCCTCCCCAGTCACTCAATGTCAAGGTCTAGTGATTTCCCTGTCACTTGTCAACCAATTGACAAGTCTTAGGACTCTCGCTTTGAGAGGTCTACCAGTCTCAACAAACATATTCAAGCTGTAACTAACCTCAATATGATAATCTTATGACTCATGACAACACGTACCGACAATGTTGACATATCTTGACTATATGTTGAACAAGCCAAAACAATGTTGCGAACATGATGTCGTGAACATATGTCAACGTTGCGCACTCGATGATCAAGGATACCATGAATCGATGACCCCGCCCAACCCCACTCAAGTGTCTCTTCGATGTCAACGTTGTGGCGATGACAATGCTGTGAAAACGATGACAACGTTGTGCTCGATGATGTTGTGAAAGCAATGATGTGAACGTGATGCTGTGAAATTGCTCACAATAATGCAGTCAGTGAAGGTATGTGAAGGTGCAACAAAAAAACACTCAAACCACGTCGAATAAAGATGATGAAACTGGCTCAGTCCACAATCACACACATGATTAAAGCATGCACCATCGCCCCTCCAGGTTCAAGCCGTACACTGCCACCCAAGACTAAGACTGGTGCTTTGCCGAAACTTACTGGATTAAGTCAAGCAAGGCCCTGCGAAACGCGTGCGTGGGGTGAACAAGAACGGCATGAAAGCTACTTCGAAGCCCGTAGGACTGAAAGCCTCTTTTGAGGACCTCTAAACATCCATCCACAGGGGCCCCCTGCCCCAGCCTCCACCAAGTGCCGCGCCTATACAAAGGAGGCGATTGAAGATTGATATATAATTACATATAATCAATCATGGATCATAATTGTGCATGTTGGGAGTGCAATCGCCCTCTTAGTGGTGAGCATCCCAGAATTAGTGTATTTCCACATCAACCAGAGGTATGTCAGAGATACCTACTCATAATTGTCCTGGGGCATTTTGTTCTTTTCCTACGGCCATTTGCTGTTCTTGCTACAACTATGTTCTTTCTTCCTAGAGCTGCTTGATTCACTATGTAAAATAATGTACTGTATAAGGACAAAGGGTGGTGATGGAACTGTATCCAGCAGAAGGAAATGTGTAGGAACCCAGACTAGAGTAGAATATTTAGTTAGAAATCATCATCCCTGTTTGTACAATGTCAATCAGCTCAAAGTGCTTTGCAGGGAGATGCTCGCACTTCTGAGCTCCCTGCACACTGGCCAGAAACGTTGCCATTGCTTGCTGCCCAGCATCTCACACTACGTTCCGCTCTAAGCTAGTGGTACTTTCATACATGCAAGACTCGCAAGACGATTTTAGCGGCAAAGGAGGGTGGGATGCGGATTGTTTCTCTGTCTTCAAGGGCGTGCATTGGGCGTGCATCTGGAGGTTTCAACTTCATTTTGTAAGAGCCTTGTGTCAGGGATGAAGGAATCTCGTTCTTTCACTAGTAATTAGGCTAGCCTTAAAGGCTGCGACTCATGGGCAATAATGCTCTCATGATTCACTATGGCTTGGGCCGGCACAACCAGTGGGACATCTGGGCTCAAAGCATGCATCAACGAAAACTCTACTCTGACAGCAAAGTAAGGTGTGGGGTGCCTTCGTTAAAGACCTGACAACCTCGCATCCATCAAAGTGTGTGCTCGACTCCGGTGGCTAGTCACCACCAAAAGGACCGAAAGTATGAGTCCTCAGCCGGTATCAGGCAAAGCACATCATCAAAGCAAACGATCTCTCTCAAACCAGTTCAGTGCTGTAAGCGATGGCTTCCAACCTACTAGCAATGGCCTCTAACCTAATTGCGATGGCCTCAAACAATAGCAATGGCCTCCAACCTACTAGCAATGGCTTCCAACCTAATTGCGATGGCCTCCAACCTGATAGCAGTGGCCTCCAACCTACTAGCCATGGCCTCCAACCTACTAGCAATGGCCTCCAACGTGATAGCAATGGCCCCCAACCTACTAGCCATGGCCTCCAACCTACTTGCGATGGCCTCCAAC